GCATATAACTCTGTCCACACAGAATTAAATCCTGTGTTCCTCCGGTACTTTTCTTTGATTTATCCATAGTTCGCTCATCGAGCCGGGGGTCCCCGCGCGAGTGCCTCCAAGAGAAGGCGCTCGCGCGGGACCGTAGCAGGATGTGACGCATATTTTAGTTGACCTAATTAAAACCGTTTTGTTTTTTATTTATGTGTCACAGTATCACCTCAAAATACAAGATACGAAACATTTTCAACCGTGCAACAAAATATAAATAGTCCTACAAGTAATTTTATTTTATTTCCTTCTTATTTTTGTCTAAGCTCAAGGGAGCCAGAGCAGAGGGCTTAAAGGGCCGCATGCGGCCCGTGGGCCGCGGGTTGCCAACCCCTGAACTAAACCATGTAATAATGTGGTTTAGCTGAAGGAAGCTTTTAACCATCGGATTTAATATCATCAATGCACTTAAGGATAATGTAATGTAAAGAGAACAGCTCTGATGCACTGCAAAGAAATGTCAGAATCAAACTTGTTGAGGTTTTACATTAAACCTTAAATTCTCTGTAATTTTTGCATGATACAAAAAAGCAAAAGGCTATTTTAATCGATGGTCATATTTTACATTTGCTAAGTAAATATGTAAGGTTAAGACTAGTGGTGGACAAAGTACTCAGGTATTTTATTTAAGTAAAAGTAGCAATTACAGTGAAGAATGTTACAAGTGAAAGTCTTGCAAAAATGCTAAATTAAATTTGAGTAAAAGTAGGGGCGTAATATGCATTAACATGAAAATGTAAATGTCAAATAAAGTTTAAGTAGACTTATTACTGCAGAACTTTGAGAGTAATGTATGTTATTAAATACTAACTATTAATGCATTAATTATTGTTTTGTTAAACTATATAATTAAGGGCTGTCAGATAGGTGCACAATTTGGCCAAGGGTCGGTATCAATAAAGTGTTTCTCTAACTTTAATGACACATGGTAAGACACGAGAGTTAATTGTATTTTCTATAATTCATTCGTAGCCTATCTTTAAAGAAACTAGCTGCATGTCAGATAAAATGTAAATAGGCCTATTTTCTCTCAACTGTAGTGGAGTAAAACTGTAAAACAGCAGGAAATGGAAGTGATCAGCCTAATTAAAAATGTTATAAGTACAGTAGCCTGATTAAGTAAATGTGGGGTACTTAGTTACTGCCCATAAGTGATTTATAATATAAATAACCCCGGTGTAGTTTGAGTGTTGTGTGTTTGCAGGGCAGGTACAACGTGTTCTTCTGCTCAGCAGCCGGATCCTGAGCCTCTCACAGGAAGCGCTGAGGATCCACGTCGCCAAAAGAAACTGCGGCAAGTGACACAGCGGTGGAGCTATTCTAACCGGAAACGGCTAGAATCGGGGCCTATTGAATTCAAAATAAAAGCATTGCATTTATGACCATTACATCCTAAAAGAAAGGGCTACTTTTAAGATGTTCAAAAATGTTACTTAAAAGACAGCATCAGCATGTTTTGGCTTGTAGTCACCACACATAAAACCATGTTAGAGTTTGATATGTATATTGTGCAATAACATCATTTTTCAACGTCAACATTTTCAGAGAACCAGTTTGACTCTTATTGTGAAACTAAAACCGGAAGTCTCGATGTTTTTAACTCATGTTCGCTTGGTCACAGTTTTCTCTCCACGTAGAGTTTAAGAGAAGCCGGACGAGGGCAACAGGGAAGCGGATTATTTCACCGGACAGCACGGCTGAGACTCACTGACGTGGAACCATGGTAGGAGAATTAAACAAACACAAAGCTTCGCAATAACTTTGATTATGTGTCGATTGTTGATCGGTTGCTCTGCGTCAGTGGCACGCGACACCGTGTGCGTAGCTACACTGTCCACAAACCTTCAGAATAACAAACTCCATTCAAAGTACACTGTACAGTACTTCTATGCATGCCACAACAAAACCCCAAAACTGCACATATTTCATGACACACAAAGTGAAAACCAGCAGAAAAGATCATTCCTCATTTGTACGTTGTTATGACAAACTTTTAGATGTGTTTACAAGAGGTTTTTAAGGCCTATTCATGCCATTTCAAAGGACACAAATGCAAAAGCTACTTATTTTCATTGACAGGCTTTAACTGAAAGTCATTGTGGAGCAGGCATGCATATTAAATGTGGAATGGGAAGTATTGACAGACACACCCCCTCCTTTAGGGCCTCCTATCTCCAAAACCTGAACAATAATATGCCTTACGAAATAAAAGTAATTTAATTAAGTGTATTTAATGCAAAACAATGCCTCATAGACTATAATATTGTACATATTGCCTATTGAGTCAAGTCAGATATTTGTTAGGAAGCCAGACTACCTATCCACATTTAAGAGTGGGTTAAAGACTTTCCTTAATAATACATCTTATGGTTAAGGCTAGCTCAAAGTGACATTACAATTTTTCAATATAGCAAATTACATACATATGTCATTCAGGTTGTCTGTTATACTTGTATGTGTTTTTAATCTTACTCATGTAATGTTGTTGATGTGTATACCCTGTAAACCCCCCAGAGACAAGGGCTTCTCTTGTGATATAGTGAGATATTTGAATACATTTTGATTTGATTTGAGTGCTTCAACAATCTTTTATAAAAGGACTACCCCCTGTTGAGAGCGGCTATCTTTTTATATATTTTGTGTTAGTCTTTTTTTATATATGTTTTCCCTTATTTTACTTCCTAGCCTCTGCGGTTGGACATCAAGCGGAAGCTGTCGGCTCGCTCAGACCGGGTGAAGAGCACCGACCTGCACCCCACTGAGCCCTGGATGGTGGCCAGTCTGTACAGCGGCACCGTGGTGGTGTGGAACCATGAAACACAGGTTACTATGATCCACCTACACACACCTCTACACACACCTCTACACACTCAAACACATATCTGATCACTCGCCTAAGCACAGTCATTAATTCAAGTTTCAAGTTCCAGGATTCAAGGCTTTTATTGTCATGTGTACATACAGTAGCTACGGTGTGGTTATGACATCAGTTCATATTTTATTTTCCTTACGATTATCCGATGGCTAGAAAGTGTGTGTAATGTGTATCTGCTGTGTGTGTGTAGATGATGGTGAAAACCTTCGAGCTGTGTGACCTGCCTGTCAGAGTGGCCAAGTTTGTAGCCAGGAAGCACTGGGTCATCGCCGGAGCAGTGAGTATTGTGCTTCAAATAAAGGGTCATTATTTGTATTTGTATCAGTGTTTTCGTCTTTTGTCTGGGAATAATCTCACTTGTTGATCTGTCTGTCTGTCCGCAGGATGATATGCAGATCCGAGTGTTTAATTACAACACTCTGGAGCGAGTTCACATGTTCGAGGCTCACTCCGACTACATCCGTTGCATCGTGGTGCATCCCAGCCAGCCCTACATCCTCACCAGCAGCGGTAAGGAAGAACCACATGAACACCTTTTTTAAACTACAAAAGTAGAGGCGTATTTGCAAAACGCTCAACATCGTGTGTTTTCAGATGACATGTTGATCAAGCTGTGGGACTGGGAGAGGAAGTGGACGTGCAGTCAGGTGTTTGAGGGACACACTCACTACGTCATGCAGATCGTCATCAACCCCAAAGACAACAATCAGTTTGCCAGCGCCTCTCTGGACAGAACCATTAAGGTACACACACACACACACACACACACACACACACACACACACACACACACACACACACACACACACACACACACACACACACACACACACACACACACACTATATACTACACTC